TTTCGATGTAATGTGATGTGATCTTTTGAGCGGCATTCATGAAAACCCTTTACATCCCATACTGGCGTTCTCACCCCCTTCACCCTTGTGCTGGGATTGTTGATAAGATTCCCATATTGTTACGCAGTCCTCCTCCCTGGTCAAATAATCGATTTCACTTGTCTCTGACGAGTTGTTGTGTGGTGCTAAGAATAGCGAAACTCACTGACGATGACGGCGAAACGTTTGGGAAAGTACCACGTCCATGGTTCAACTTTGGAAATGATCTTGCAGACAATGGACTCGGGACTAGGTGCGTTCCTCTAACTCTTCCTACCAATATTACCATGTTGCGAAAACAAGGTCAAACATCTTTATAATTTACTTTGCGATCGTAATGAGACATTCAATGATTTATTTAACTGTTATGCTTGTCCTACAGGCATGTAAACGAGTCAAAGTGATGCATGAAGAAAAGTGGACATGGTCAAAACTTTTGTCTGTAAATAAACTTGCGTATAGTCTTGTAATCCTGAGGCTTACTATAGCTTTGTGGATACGTATTCATGTGTGTAAACAACACTTATGAGTTGGTTGGAAATTTTAGGCCGCAAACCAGACCCCAACTTAGTCAAGTGTTCTCCGTTTACTCAATGGCTCTTCCTGTTCTTCTTTCTTCCCTCTATTCAGCCGCCAGAGATGCTACGTTCCTATAATATACGCTGTCCTTTATTTTGTTAATTTTAATCGACTTCCTGATCTTCGTCTCAGCTGTGAAATCCTCATATCCGGAAAGACGTTGGGATTTAGACCACTATCTAGAGTTCTCTTGTTCATATTCAGGGCCACAAAAGCCTAAGAAATAACCTTAGATCTACACCCAGAGATAATATCAGGAAATAAGATAAACAAGGAGTCAATTATGAAATTGACGAACTTAATAATGCATAGTGCATAATTTATCTTTAATAGTAAATTGTACGAGCAAACCAGAGGTATGGCTATGTGATTTTGTTTGTCTCCAGTTTTAGCTCAATTAAAAGTCCGGTTTTTTCAAGAGTTACTTCTAGTTCCGAAACTATTAATCAGATAAATGGATGATTACTTTGCTATCAGGTAGCATGGGAAGGAGGGTTTGGAAGATTTATTTGGGTTAAAAAACAGCGTATAAATTCACTATACAAATAATAAAAGGACAGAAAGTAACCATTTTTAAATGTCCTAGTTATAAAAGAAGGAAGCAAACTATGTAGAGATGTGTATAGGAAGCCCAGGAATGCAGGATTCCTTCTGAATTTCATTCGGGAATCATAAATAAGGTGGGGTTGTGGATTCAGAAATTTGAGGTGGCTGAACATGTGGCTACTAAAGGAAACTAGATAGAATGGTCTATATCCTAACGTTCTGCCATATATTGGGACTTCGCAGATAAGCAAAAGATCAGGAAGTCTATAAAAATTAACAAAAAGAACATCTTGAATTAGAGGATTCTTAAGAACCCAGCTTCTATTAATATAAATAATCAAGAGTTTCAATCATTGCAAATATTACAGCCTGACGAAGAATAGAAGAAAATCAAACACAGAACATTTTTAAGCTATCTACGATTATATCCAATTCAAACAATGATTGAAATTACCTAGAATGTATCAATCATGACATTATGAGACATTTATGAATGAGAAAAGTAGGTAATTTACCAGCAGAGTGAGGTAAATATCACACTGATTAGGTATAAATTCAGTCAAAGGATGAAAATTATTTGTTGCAACGAAAAATATTAGAAAGGTGAATATTTGATGCTAATTTTAAAAATGGCAAACCTGAGCGCTAATTTCACTCAAATTGCCTGATGTCTGTGACATGTAAGGTAGACGCATATTCTCCCTTTCTCTGACCCTAGTTGAGGTACTATCTGCAGAAGCCGAATGTGAATTGCAGGAAAGCTTGCGCCGGCGAGGAAGCCAGCTAGCTAGGCCAGTCTGAAATGAAGCACCGGGACCTTTTGATTCACCGACATCAGTAAAAAACCGAGGGACACTGTGATCAAAATTGTATACCTTAGATATAGCTGGAGAAGGATTATTAAGAGTATCTAATATCCGTCCAGGCAAGCTGTAAAGGTAGAATGAAAAAAATATATTTAGAAAATGGACTCATAAGGTCTGCTGGAAAGAACTCAAATTAGGTAAGCAAAATAACCAGTGGTTAAATCCAAAATCTAGGTTTTTGTAGCAAGTATAAGGAGTTTACAAGATAGATCTATCGTGAATACGGCTGAATGATGCCAAAAGGCGACGTGCGAGATCAAGAGCCGGTCGCCGCAAGGTAGACGTGGCGGTGGAGAGGCCACGGAGACAGGGGTTCTACAGGTTTACGCCCTTTCATGGCTTGAATGTGGGCCTCTGATTGGTGTGAAAAGTCAGGAGCTAATAAGCCCAACGATAGGGTTGGTAGAATGAGGAAATTCGATTAGTTGGCGCGAAGGAGTCTATATAAATTGAAGTGAGCGTTCAGGGGCAGCTGTGAATGTAATGACGTAGCAAAAAGTTTCAATAGCAAGGTGTATAGATGAGGAACAGAGGCAAAATGAAGCTGATCAAGAGGAACGTACATTCGTCCTTGTGTGGTCGACTTTTGAATCTCGTCAGCACAATACACTTTAACTCAAATTGGAAGTGAGCCCAACAATGCTAAACAAAAAGATGCTTAGAAGCCCATTGTTTCTTAGTATATAATTCTTTTTCTCATGTCCTGCTCTTTGGTTTTTTTATTGTCTTCATGGCTCTATAGTAGCCGCTTCAAAAGAAATCCTCTGGATTCTCTAGAAAATCTATCGATTTCGACGAATTCCCTAAATTTAAAAATGATGTATAGAAATAGGTGTAATAGAAATTTGTGCAGCATAATTGATAATAAATGCAGGTTAAAAAAATTGATCGGCAAAGATAATTTCGACTTTAGTTTATTATTCGACTTCGTCAATATCTGACAATACGCTGATCACAAACAAGGGCTAGGGTTATTTGCCTTGAAATCCGAGGAGTAAAAAGTTATACAGTCTTGGTCATAGCAATGTGCAAGCCAAAGGATTTCAAGACTGGCCATGGAACTTAAATTGCAATTTAAGGTGTTAAAGCACAATAATGAAGATATAACAGCTCAGTTGCTCCGAGAAGAATAGGCATGTGTAGGGGTTCTAAGATTATCAGTGATTCGCTCTAAAACACTCAGCAGCATTGCAAAAGAAGAAATTCCAGATGAGCCAATTCTGCGACAGACAAATGTGCCTAAAGAAGACATGAAGACCAATATGGTGCGGCCCTCGATGTGGTAGCAGTCTCTAGCCGATTTCTAGAAGTGAGTTGACCTCGTTTTCGCAACTTGGTCTTGTTGTCAGGGTGACTCAGTAGAAAGCCTCTTGTCGGAAGTCCTCTGCCATAGTAGTTATTCTAATTGCCAGCATCCTCAGTAAGTGTTCTCATTCTCTGGACCAGGTTAAAACTCATCAGAGACAAATGAAGGCAATCCCTTGACCAACGTTCTGCCGAAAACGGTTACACTACCACTAATATTTCTGTCCTGACCCATCTTTCTACCCTTTACCCTCTTATCCAACTCCCGCCTTATCACAACTTCTCCCTTGTTTACATTCCAATCATCAAAATGTGTGCCCTTTTGTGGCAAACCGAGTGTGGCCTCATC